GTGGGGGGGGTGGCACGTTCCCCCCCCCCCCCCAATCATCCAAACGAAATCCCTCATTTCGATCGGATCATTGGGGTTTATTAGTAATAAATCGGCATTTTGTGACCCCCACTGCCACTGTGTAGCATGTTATTACGTGCCAGGGACTCTATGAGATGATAGGACGATAGTCTGAGTCCATAATTGGCAATAAGTAATGACAAAGCCGTTATAAGTGACTCACAGAATTGTGCGGAGTTGCGTATACAGTACAGTACACAACTTCCCTGAAGGCATTCACCTTCAGCGAGCGCGATGCCGATCACACAACGCGGTTCGAATTCGACCCTCGATCGATGGCTGCGCCATCGCCGCACACGCGTCGAATAAAAAGCAAGGGACAAGTCCTTACTTACTAACAACTCCTCTATCATTTTTCATTGCTGGAGGGGTTGCCCCCCTACCTGAAAATCCTGGCTCCGCCATTGGAAGAACGCCACATCACCAACACTCACTTGAGTGGGGAAAAAAAAAAACCCTTCAAGATGATATCATCTTTTTTACTTGAGTTTTAATGCAGCAAAGATGGGGACATTAAGCCACACTAATTGCATACCTTACAGATACCTAGGGATCAAAATAAAAGGTTCACGTTCAGGTTGGAGACTACACCATATTGTGGAATTCACAGACACTTATGCTCCATTTCACTGTGACATGGGGCAACGTTTAAAATATGCGGGCAAAGAAAAATAGAATGTGCCGTCAAAATGTGAACGTTAACAGCAATATGAAATGTGGGTTGTTGCGGGATGCCCATTAAACAGAGCTAAATAGCTTATTGAGGTATTCCTGCTGAAACAAAAAAAAAAATATCTATCTAGATATTACATGATTGCTACGGTATGATTTTTCAAAAATAAAAATCAACGTATTATCCATGTAATTTGTCTGTACACAAACTACACATTTAAGCTTCATTCCTTAAGATCCTGGCTGGAAGTGGCCAATTCTTTGCGCCGAGTAGTTTTCTTTTAAGTGGGGGGAGGAAATTGGAGTGGCCGGAAAAAATACCCACGCATAATAGCCTCGTCTTTTAAAATTACAGCGACAAGAGTTTCCCCGCTCCTTAATGTCCAACATCACCGTCAACGGCGTACGATGTTGATTACCGGGGCACAGCCGCGGGTCTTTGCGGGAATCCAACCGTTGACTCGGCACGAACCGGCTCAGCGGTGGTGGGCGGCGGTGATCGCACGAACCGCAAGGATAATCTAGCCCCCCCTGATATTCGATAAGACTCTCGATCGCCTTCGCTTGGCGTTCGTACAAGTGTCAAAGTAACTCTACACTCCGGCGCGAGAAAGAAAAAAAGCGACGAGACAAAAAAAATCCACAGGCGTCGGGGCGAAAAGGTCGGGGCGTTTGGGCTGCTTGGTGGGGGGGTAGTGGTGGGGGGGTAGTGGTGAGGGGGTAGTGGTTGGGCGGGGGGGAGGTGTGGGGGCGACGGGAGGGCGGTAAAACAAAGTGTGGGGGAAGGAGGTTTGTGTGGAGGTTGGAGCGTGATTACAGCTGTTAAAACAGATTATTATCGATAGACCAAGAGACGGGGTGCGAGAGTGGGGTGCAGGGCAAGCGAGCGGGCGAGCGAGCGAGCGAAAGAAAGCAATTTTTCTTAACGCTGCGAAGAAAAAAAATGCATATAAATTTTAAAAAACGGAAGCGCTGTATTGAGATCGATTCGTTTCCTAGTGCGCCCTAACCTTGCAGAGCCTCACATTTCCGAGAATTTTAATCGTTATTTCTCTTCCATTCTTTGCACCTCATCAGCTCCCCTCCGCTTGATAGATGACTGCTCTTAACCCGGCCAAAGCTGGCGGCTCAACACTTCCAATAAAAACACTTGCGCTACATTGTATGTCCATGTTAAAAAGTGAATGTGTTGAGACCTGCTATTAATCTTGCACTTTTCTTTAACAGCACGTTTTTTTTCTCTCCCGCATAACCAAGTGATACAGGCCATTGAGCGACAGCTCTTTGCCTAACCGGAAGACTGCTTTTGCGAGGCATTGCAATATAAACATACTAATGATTTTGCATCAAAGTTCACTTATTTAATACTTTCGTTCGAGGTTACCACTCGGAGTTCAACAAAATTGGCCTCTACAAGGTGGTCGCGGGTAGCTCAGGGGGTTCATTATAGCCATGCAAGAGCAACTGGGCCAAAACCACTGAGATCCTGGGCCCCAATCTGGGATTCACCCACCAATGATTAAAGCAAGGTTGTTTCAGGTGACGTTGGCTCACGGTGTCACGACGGTTACCGTGAAGCACGCAAACTTCCACCGCTATATAAACGTGGCTTTCATTCATTTTGGGGACCAAAATGTACACGCACGATAACGCTCTTCCATTATCATCAGCCATTCTCTATCCGACGCTACGTTCAGACCTTCGTAAGCCATCGCCGTTACTCGCGGTCGAACGATGCAGCAACAGAACTGCTTTTTGTGCTTAGTTTGTTGTCCTTAACACGCACCTATAATTAGCACAGTTGGCTACGTACGGTGCAAAAGAAATCCAACATACATACAAACAATCCATCTTGCACCCACACGAGTTGATCTCATCGTGCTACAATCCCTCAGTGGGCACTTTCCCTCCTTTGGGCTGCCACTCCATCGTTAGACTCGACCACCGGCCATCCAAAAAACATTTGTATGCTCTGATCCATGTTATATCCAAACACTATCAATCCGCTTTTGTAAATGAGTCGCCAATTCACAATTCATACATACTACTGGCGACGCGTCCTGAGCAACGCCAACTCATTTTTCCTGCTCCTGACAGATATGAGATAATTTTGTGATAATTTTATGTGTTCGCCGATGACCAACGCTGAGGGAGTCAGGTCGATGACCGACAGTGCAGGCTACCACCCACATCATCGTCACAAAAGAATGAAAGAGCGCCTTCTCGTGTTGCGCGAGAGTGTCATAACACAGCGACTCTAGAAGCGGTAACACTGTTGGCGTTATCTTCCAGGGTTGCCCCACCGACATGACAACGCAAATCTCAGCTTTTATTTTTAAGGGGGTTTCCTGAAGTGGCATTCCTTCGCGTCGTGACACAACTTCAAGGGCACGCCAGTGACAAGGGCAAAGAAAGTTTCGTAGGAGGTGCAATGTACAGCACTTCCATTCTAAGCTGCAAGTTTTCCAGCCAGAAGATCCACCAAATCTGGTGTTTCGCAAAGAAAGTCACATCCCCCAAAAAATACTTTTAGATGCTATTTTGCATGCTACATTAAACACACCATCTGTTTCTGTAAATACGTCGCCAATTCACCCGTCATACTCCAGCTCCCGGCTTGGGAACGGTGTGCGACCAATATTGCTGATTTCAAATCCCTTCCGCGAGTTTGGCTCGATAGACCGAAGTGGAGCGACTCCCAGCATGCCCAGCACATTGTGGTGTCGCCAGGGTCGCGGGGTGCCACAGTGGCGAGATGTTAACGACCTCGCCTGGTATACAGGAGGTCATGGGTTCGATCCAGGCCCTGACGCCCTGATGTATATTTTGAGTCTGCACGTCTCTCTTCCCGTGGTCACGTAGATTTTCTCCGTTTTTTCCGACCATATTTAGAATCAGCATGTGTTTATAGAGTGTTATAGAGTATTTGGCTGCTATACATTTCCACGTTATGGTAAGCCACTTCCTTGTGCTATCATTTGTGATAGCCAGGTCACTTCTGAAAAGAGCTATATAGCTCAGTGGGGCCTTACCAGGTAAAATAAAAAACAGTCAAAAAAATTGACAGTTTATTTTCGAGCACCACCATGCAGAAAAAACATACACGGTTTCTACACTATGGGAACCTCATTTGCCAGTAAAAATATAATTGGTTTTTTACCCTTCTATCTGGCAACAAAACTGACACCTTTTTAGAAGGAGTCATGTTTGCATAGACCGCAATACCTGCAGTCATAGAGTAAGTCTGATAATGTGCACTGTCCTTGAAGTTGATTGGTCCACACCCGAGACAGCTTTCCTTAGAGCCTAGTCTCACATGGGTTGGATTATGACTGCAGGTATTGCGGTCTATGCAAACATGACTCCTTGTAAAAAGGTCTCAGTTTTGTTGCCAGATAGAAGGGTAAAAAACCAATTATCAACATACACGGTGTTTCGCTGAAGAGAAAAAAAACACGTATTCGCAACCGTTCCATGAACCACTTGCCACGTCTGTGCGTGACCACCAGTTGCCTGCCGCACGTGGGTCTTCGCACAGGTACGTCCTGGAGGCTGACCATACTTCGCCACACTGATCAGTGTCAGTTGGTGACGCGGGGAACACAGATGTGGCAGCTGCACTTGTCTTCTACTGCCCACAATGTGGCCCCCACAGCAGCCTATAACACCTGCTGTGCATAATCGTTGCCCATCCAAGAAGCGCCATCAAAGGCTCAACCATGCTCAGCTGAAGAGATCTGACGAGGTGGAGTGATTTCCAGATTATTTAACAAGTTCAAGTTCATTTATTAGGTATAGCCCTGTGAGCCATTCGGCTCTTGAATCGGGTGCAACCGCAACAAACAAAAAACAAAAACATGAACAAGAAAACATCTTAAAGTGACTATGTGACTATGTGCAAACAGAAAATTCAAGAAAAGACAGCAAAATATTACAGAAAAAGCAACGTACACCAAAACTGTGTGCAAAAATCCCAGTGGAATACAAGTCAAACTACAACAACAACAACCACAAGACAACTTAGATTAAGGCCATCAGTCTAACTCTGTACTACAACAAACAAACATGGCCAAACCAAAAAGGCAGTACTATAGTAATGAGCCTGAAAGTCAAGTTGGTGGTTGTAACTTTCAATTCGAGTTGAAAGTCCACAACGCCCAAACTTGCATTGGGGACCGATTGGAACACAGCCCGTCAACAAGCAACGACGGCCGTTGGATCTTTGCGCGGTGTTTATCCCCGCTTTCCAAACGCGCCCGGGTGCTCACCTGATTAGGGAGAACACGCTGTAGGAAGTCCGCACGATATTCTCATCCACCTGCAGGCTACCCTGGGTCCTGTCTGCCAGCTTCTGCAGGAGAGAGAGTGAAAGCACCTCCCCCGTCATTGCCGGCAGCATCTACCGCATCTTGGCACCGGATAAGTACGCAAAGTAAACTCCGCATCGATTCATCTTCTAGGTTCTTTCGGTAAAGTCACGTAGAATTGAAATAATAAAATAATAAAAATAAAACATAATAAAATATTAATTTTCATTATTTTATCATTTCAATTCTACGTGACTTTACCGAAAGAACCAAGAAGATGAATCCCTGCAGTCACGAAAGCTTTAAATCGAAATTTATCCGCATCGATTATTCAACATTCAGATTTTTTTTTTCTTTTATTTCGTGAAAATGTCTCCTTTTAGCTCCGTCAGAACGAAACCGACGGGACGGATCAGGCAAACCACACGAGACGGGGAGTATACACAAGAGACAGTACAAACAAGGCAGTTTTTAAAGTTAATTTCATTTTGGTGGGTGAGAACGCATGAGACCAGGATAGCCTCGCCCATAAGTCTGACCTGGGTTGCCAAAATGACGAGAACAACGAAGCAAGCCAAAATCAAAGCAGAAACAAATATAAACCAAGAAATCGAAACTACTGCAAAAAAATAAAACAAAATATCATAGCATAATCCTGCGATGAATGTGCAAACCAGACCAACAAGTCCGCATTCTCGAGTCAAATCGTGACTATTGAATCATTTGGGTGGGAGCGTAGCAACGTGGCAATGCTTGTGCTTCACAGCACAAAGGACACGGGGGGTTTCATTCCCTACTCGGGCGCATTTCTGCACGGAGTTTGTATGTTCTCCCCCTGTTCTGCATGGGTTTCCTCCAATAGCAAAAAAAAAAACCCATCCAATGTCACTGAGTATTGGCCAAAACAACCCAATGCTGGAAAAATTACCCGCAAATTACTCAACTGGGATCGCAGAGAGAAACCATCAAACAACGACTGCAAACACTTGGCAGGACCCTCCTGAAAATGATTCTTAAGACTCCGCGAGGCCTCCCGGTGTTCAATTGTGGTAATAATTATGAAAATTCATCAACTCATAGGGAGGTAGTGCTGAACCATTCCGTGCGTACAATTCACACGGGGGTCACCACCTGCAGTCACGAAAGCTTTAAATCGAAATTTATGCGAGAACCAGGAAGATAGGGTCAAGAAAGGTTGAAGTGTAAAATCGGTTTGCGCTCGCGACAGCTGTCAGGGAGCACTTTTCTCGCTTGGCTCTGCTCCCGACTTCGAACTCTCGTCGGAGAAGTCGTGGGGTGAGCCGCGGCACAATCACGGCAGCCGGTCGCGGCTAATCGCACGAATAAAACATAGTGTAATATTACAATGTATAGTCTATATAAGCATATTAGTTGCTGCGGCGCCATATTATTAACATTTCTTTCCCTTTATTAATTCTAACCTTACTCCCTCCCTTTGATACTGCTAATCCTGCATAATGTACGGGCATAATGACTTTAAACCCCTCGCCAAACCTCCTACGCATCTCACAATTAGTACTAATCGCATATCTGCATTATCCATAAATATGCCAAATTCCTCTTGATATGCAAATTAATTTGTCAAGGCGCTCTTCGCCCCTCCATCCCAGCATAAATAGTCGCTCCAAGCCTGGGGCGTGCCATTCAGACTCTGTCTACTTGACAGACCTGTTCTCCACCTGAAGACGGCTGCTTGCGTTGTGGCCGAAACGTCGTGAGAATTATTTTATTATGTTTTATTTTTATTATTTTATTATTTTCCTTCTACGTGACTTTACCGAAAGAACCAAGACGATGAATCCCTGCAGTCACGAAAGCTTTAAATCTAAATTTAATCGCACGTTGTTCGTTTTTTATCCCCGACGGGCAGTGGACCCGATTCGTGAGCTACGGCCAATCCGGTTGAAGCAACAACGAGTGTCACATGGTGAAATAAATGTGATGTCACAGCAACACGACGGAGGGCACAATTAACTCTGACGCTTTTCTGTCCTTCATCCTGAAAAGTAATGTATCAGTGTGCCGAAAGGTGAACTTTATCATTAATCGGCGTGTACTCGCAGCCGTAACAGACGATCGCGATCGAAAAATGAGGAGTAAAACTTAAAATGCACGAAGAAGCGTGAGGCGACGCGCGCTTGCAACAGAAAGAGGAACGTCGTGGATTGGAGAACATATGCAGGTTAATTACTTCACCTAAACTATTAAGTAGGTGGACTTGGGCAAGACACATTCGCAAGAAGGGATGACTGACAATGGTCAAGGATAACAACGGAGTGGCAGCCAAGGACTGGAGCACGTCTGCATAGCAGTAGAGTAAGTCAGTAGAGTAAGCCAGCCGCACATATCCCAGCATGGGCTTTTGAGCATTAGCCAATCAAATGCTGTAGTTTCCTCCCACATACAAAAAAAACCCAGAATGCATCCGATCACACATCTCAACCAGGACCCTCCTGAAAAAAAGAGAATCGCAACGTTCACTTAAGGCTTTCCTGTATAAAGAGTAATTCATATTTTGTAAAGTAAGGGCTGTAACGTATACTGTTTTAAAAAGCCAAAGAAAATAGAGAAAAAAAACCGCTGAAAACTGTTAAGAAGCATGCAGGGGTGCATATTTGGAATTGCGCTGAGACTGGAGGAAGAACAAAAGGATTAGTGAACGTACGCAAGTTAGGGTCATCACAAAAACAGCGGACTTGGGCAGGACACGTCGCTGTCGCTTGCAAAGATACTGGACGGTGGTCGAGACTTGTGATGGGAATAGCATCCAATGGAGGGAACATGCCCAAGGGGTTCATCTACTGCACCATTGCAGATGTGAAACGAGCTAATGCGTAGGTGTAGCTGAATTGTTGCATTGCTTGGGGAAGTCTACATCCAGCAGAAGATAGATCATCGATGATGATGATGACACAACAATAAAAACAACGTTGTGTAGGGGCGTTCTTCCTTACCTTGCGATTACTCAGAGTTCCGTAATAACCGTCGGTCATTCCGAACACAATGGAATTCGGCGCATCTGCCCGTATCTGGAAGAGTGCAAAAAATATAAATATATATATGAAGTACTTGACAACCAAAAAAAGAATGTAAATCATATTTCTTTTTTTTCCCGTACAAACACCGCAAGCTGCGATCGTCGAAACGGCCGGACACCTGGCTGAAACTCCATCAAGCAACTGGGAGGGCAACCATCCATCGACGGATAGAGTCACATTTCTTCCAGCCGTCCTGCTGGGATACCACTTTAATAATTAGGAACACATTGGAGAAACACGCACGGCGCTTTCCGCCCGTCCGCACGTGAAAATCGCACAAATGCCTCCGTGGAATTGCAGCGGGAGGGGGCGGGGGGGAGGGGAACGCTCGCAGGAAAATTATACGATAAAAAATAAGGCGTCGAACAAAGCGATTGCATGCGCGCTCAATTCTTCTCCTTTTATTATTTAAGCAGGGAGTTATCGCGCCGTGTTCTGCGCGATGTTGTACTTTTGTTACAGGCGGCGCTCTTAAAAAGCTTTTCCTTGACGAAACGCACACGCCGGCACCTGTGCACACACGCGGATAATTGCACGTATGGTGGCAGAGAGAGAGAGAGAGAGGGGAAGAAAAAAATAAAGGAACGAGAGAAAAGGGGCACGTGCATGGAGCAGACACCAAAGGACGCCCCATCGCTCTGTAGAATGTCTGATGCGTTCAAGCTGCGGCTCCAAGTGCATTCCACGCGGCGATTACGCTTCAAAATAGCGCGCCTCTTCCCTTCCTTCCCACCGATTGTTTTTCCTTCGAATTTCTTCCCTGCTCGCCGGGCGCCCCCCACCTCCCCAACCCCCGGGAGAGACGTCTGCTCGCGCGTTAATTTGCGCGTTCGCACGCGCACCCCTCTCTCGTAGGTCACCGTTTATTGAGGCGTTGCGGTGAAAGATTTTTACACCGGCGGGCCCACGTGTGAACAAGCAGAGAGCCTCGTTGTCAATACGCTGCTGGATGAGGGGACTACCGTCGCAGTGCGGTTCGTGGCAGTCGTTTGACCATAATTCACCAGCGTTGGGTCAGTGTGGCTTGCTGAAGGTGAAGGAGTATAAAAGCACGGTACAATTTTTTGCTGCAAAGCTCTCTGCGGGACAACGTCTTGCAGCCCCGCAGCCGCCGATACCAACCTGGTGGGTGAACGGTGGTCGCCAACCCACGTGCGATCGAGGCTCAACCACTCTTCTCAGCCCTTTGAGTTTTGGAGAGATCGTGTGCATTCTAGTCGATTTGCTATTTCGGCATCGGACATGACGATAATAACGAATCCATTCATACGGCGCTTTTCGGAGAACAACAATAACTCGTTGCATCTTGCGGTAATGCACATCCCACCCCACGTCCTCAACTGCCAGCCATGCCAGAGGTCGCAACCGGGTACCCGATACCCGTACCCTACCCGATACCCGGCTACCAGTACCTGGCCGGGTACGGCTACCCGTTTGCGACCCTGGTGCGGCCAGGTACGGGTAGGCTGTGAGTCACTGGTGAGTCACCGTTTGTCACTCATTTCCCAACGTCTTGTCTCTTCTCACAATTCAAGTTCCTAGAATCAACCCACCCGCGCCTGCAACATGGCTTCATCCCAGAGGTCGCAATCGGGTACCCGATACCCGTACCCTACCCGATACCCGGCTACCCGTACCCGGTCGGGTACGGGTAGCCGTTTGCGACCCTGGTGCGGCCAGGTACGGGTAAGGAATCAAAACCCGTTTGCGACCTCCGAGCCACGCCGATCATTTCAGGTGCTGCATTCAACTGTGGCCCACACTCTCGCTCCTCTTTTTCTTATAAACCAGGCTCATGTTGAACGTGTCCCATGAAGTGCCCGCTAGTGTAACATCAGCAACAGCCGACGCGCTTACTGATGACTCGTCACTTGTTGAAAAGCAGGTTGTGTGCCAAGAGAAGCACAGAGGCCATCCAGATCAGCATTGTTGTATTGCCAAGTAATGTCATTAGCCTCGTGAAGTTTATGTCTGAGGGTGTGTAGGGTCACTTTAGAGTGCTTAGACAATGGTCAGATGTAACAATTGGTGCAGCAGCATCAACTGTGTATGGAGTTGAGTCAGAAGTTCAGAACGGATCAAAGGCACTGAGCCTATCGAAGACAGAATTCGGTGTGCGAGTAGCACAGTTATCCCCAACTGTTCAAGGTTGTAAAAAGTCCAGCTGCACGGCCAGATTAATCTGTTCATTTGCACAGGGAGATACAGCCGCGGCCAGATTAATCTGGCCGCGGCTGTCTTGTAGCCACAGTAGCCACATTAAAGTGACCAAGGATAATGATCTCAGCGGCTGGATGTTGCTTATATACAATTTGAATAAAACATCATTTGCATTTATATAGCACTTGTCCTTGACCATCATTTAGCATCCCTTCAAGCGATGTGTCCTATCCAAGCCCACTTGACAGCACAATTATTATCAGAATCTTAATTTAAGACTGGAGAAATCCGATGAGCTATGAAGCTCTTTTTCACAGACGCCCCCCCCCGGTGAGTAGCGGCACAGACGCGAGCCGAGAGCGGGAGACGCGACAGCAGCGCGTGGTGACATCACCTGGGGGCCCACGTATCGAAGGCCGTCGAGATGCACGTCCCACTCGATGAGCGCTGAGAAGCGGTCCCCTCTGCCGCCGTACACGCGCACCACCAGCCGCGACACTGACGTGTCCAGGTTGTCTGGCATCAGCCCAAAGTCCAGGCTGCACCATGTTGGGTTCTGGACAGACACGGAAATTAAATTACAGTTCCGTCGCGTATTTATTGTGCGTCGCTGGGCAAAGCTTTTTTAAGAATCGGAATCTTTGTATGTACGTATGTTGAAATTTCATTCACACCGCACGTAGTTAACCGTGCTAATCGGAGGAGTGGAAGGACTGGAGGAATCCGATGGCTATGAAGGGTTTTTTCACAGATGTCTAGTCAGCGAGTTACAACAACAACAAAAGTATCTCCCTGTGCAAATGAGCAATGAGGCAGAGCTATTCTCTCTCCTGGAGACCCTGAGCCAGTGATAGAAATTCCATATTTTCATGGCTCTGGCCAGTCTCTCCAGAGGACGAACACTGCTTGACTGCTCACGAAGTAGTGCGGGAAACATTTTCATTGACCTTGTGAAGTTGAAAGGCTGAGCTGATTGCAAATCAAGAGCTGAATTGGTAAAATTGTAGATTGTGGGTCACGTGTTCTAACCACGACGCTGAATCAAGTTCCATTTGCAAGCGTGGAACAAGTACGAATGAGTGGCAGGGACAGTACCACGCACACAAGCCCAGCTGCTTATGCTTCTTCAGTGCCGTGGCCTGATCACACCACAGCTGAAGGAGAACATGCACAACGCACCTGCCAAGGGCACTAACAATGCTCCCCATCTGCGCCAAAGGACCAAAGTTCCCCATCTCAGCTTAAGAGACCAACGGCGCAAGTGCTGCGAGCGAGCAGCAACTAAAGCTGGAATGGCACTCGAGGAATGAATGTGGTCAGCATCAATCGTGTCTGCCTGTGTTCTCCCACTGCTCACACACCATGAAAGATGCTCATTTAAGGTTGAGTTGATCTAGGGAGTGGCCCACCATCAGGTTCAGATGCCACTTGCTGAACATGTACATAGCCAGGAATCAAACCCGTGCAGCTGGGATAGTAGGGCAGCGTGCAAACCACCGCACGACTGCTCCTCACACAGTTACATCTATGCTCGTCGCCACCACACACACGCGCGTGCGCGCACGCAAACAAGAGCACAGGACAAGCATTCCTACCAAGAATAGTTGTTAGTGATTGCGACGAAGGATCGCTGTAGCCAGCGTTGTTTGGCGCGTGCGAGATTCGAAATGCCCCCCGCCATCCGAGTGCCGTCAGGCCCAACACCGAACCCCATTTCGGCTTTCGCAACGGGGGGGGGAAGGAAGGGGGCGGGGAGGGTGGTTTGGGGCACAACTGGCCATGGCGTTCCATGGCCAAGCCCATCTCTCATGTGGCTCCGGCCACGTTTAACTAAAGAGATGAGTTCAAACCACCCGGCGGGCAATGGCATGCGATGCACGGCTCGTAAATCGCGAGCTTCTGCCAAATGCGAGTCACGTGGAGACGCGATTTCATCCCGTGCAGCGCTGGCGTCAAGCCGAGCGCAATATTTACGAGCGGTGGGCCGAAAAGCAAAAAAAAAGCGCCAACAAAATGCAAATAAAATATCCCTGAAAAAATAGTCACTTTTCTCGTAAAGCACAACTTTTGGGTGCTGTCCATCACCTCGGTAATTGTTTTGTGCTGGGATGTCACTGGTCCGTTGGTCTTTTTTTTAAGTCTCCACACTCGCAGATCGTGTGCAGTGTCCTTTTAGGGAGACTCCCTGCTCGGGTTTGCTTTGCCAAATGCCGGCGAAACAATGAAACTTCACACAGAAATCAATCAACAAAACTCACTACTCTCGTCAATGACCTGTTCATAATAATGACGAAAGAGGTCATTAAAAAATATACGTATTTTTTGTGTACGATTCCAGAATGCAGACCTTTTATTTTTATTCAAATGTTCACAATGACGACTGGTCGTAAACCTACTTGCTGCACTGTACCAGGTCACAGATTTCATGCATGTGCGATCCAACAACCCCTCCTCCAATTTTCCGAATGAGCCATGGACCGCGGCAACCACGTGTGATGCTACAGATCCTTGTCTGTTTGCTATTTCATTGCCCATCGTTTTTTGTTGAGTCTCTATCATCACCACTATCGTCATCAGACCATTTAACAGCAGTGGTTGTGGTGGCACCAGCCATACTTTGGCAATCATCTCTCTCCACCTCCTATGGTCTTTTGTGATCTGTATAACATCTGCTGCTGATCTCTCTGTTCAAGGTTCTCTCTGTTGCCTATAACATCAGAGAAACCAGATGCATTTAACAGGCCACACACCCTGCTGATGAGACTCGGAGAAGGTGAAATCTAGTCCAGGGTTTGCCCGCTTAAGCAAATTCTTACGGAAAACACTGGCCCACTGATTGATGGGCCCTAAATGTTACTTGAATTTTGAGCAATGAAACGGATCCCATCCTGTATGCGCATTATTTAATTACATGTCAGTGGACACGTCTACTGAACCACGATCATCTTCAAATTTCTGCCACGTGCCGCTACCATCCCAGCCATACCATGGCACCACTCCCCGGGTTCCGTCCTCGCCCCCCTCCACAGTGCTGCCTGCCAGCCCCCCGCCGTGCCACCACACTCCCCGCACCCCCGCCTTGCCGCGAGAGATCAGGTTCACTCCGGGTTGTCCCTGGGAGGGCGGCCGAAAACAGCAGGAAGGGCTGCCCCTACTACCCAACGAACACCTCCCTCCATGCCCCCTCCCGCTCCACCGCCCACCACCAACAAATATTCGCACCCTAAAGTGTCACTTCCCACTGTGCGACGCGTCAATCATTCCCTCCCGGAAACACGCAGCTGTCCGAGGTCCTCTAGCCACTGTCCACCCAAGCTTCTTCATCATCATGCCCAGTTGGCTGTCAGCTTCTTTATTTACAGACGCTTTATTTGTTAACACACACCGCGTGTGTGTGTTTTGAAAAATAAATTATTATTCTTTGGCTACAGCGCCATCTGCTTCTGGGCTCGCATCTAATCGCCGTGTGGCAAACGTGACCGCGTGCACACTTAATATCATCATCATGATCATCAACAACCATGATCTATCCAGATTGAATGACGCCTCCCCAAACCACTGCCACCTCTCATGATATGACGATGTAAATAAACCCAGCTGGCACCTGCACTCGAGTCGATTTCATAGCTCCTTCTCGACGGATGTCCTCTCGGCCGCCTCCTCCCATCGTTATTCTGAACCATCGTCCCTTCGAGCGATATCTCCTGCCCAAGCCCGCTTGCGTGTCTGAATGGTCAATACGATGTCTCTAACGTGTGTTTGTCCTTTAATCCATGTGCTCCTCTTTCCGTCTTTCGCTGTAATTCCAAGCGCGCATTTCTCTATTTCTTCTGTGCACGTGTTTAGCCTTTGTGTTTAATTGGTATAACCACCTTGGTGATTAAAATCTGTGAAAGGAACATGTAACCCAATCCAGAAAAGAGCCCTTATCTTAATAGGTACATAGAGCGGCTGCGTATCCCAGAATGTCAGATATCAGGGTTCCAAGTGTCGTTAATGATCAAATTGACCTTAAATATCTGGCGTACCATTGCACAACGCTGGTGACATCACTGACACGTGACTACGTATGAATACACACGAGCAGTGACATCACGAGAGCCAAGGTGGTGCCCTTTAGCGTAACTCTAAAGTATTTATTCCTGATTATGCAGGCCGCAGACAGCCTTGATAAGCATGCATCTACAAGAGGGCAAAAGGGCTGGGAGATATGCTCCTTAGCAAGGGCTGAATAAGATGTTTAACTACCTTTGGCAAGCAACCACGCTAGGAGTGTAAACTGAATCGGAATACGTTTGTATACCGGAGGAATCTGATGAGCCTTATAGCTCTTTTTCATAGACGTCCAGCAGAATGTACGCATGTGTAATAAAAGGACTCGGACACTTCCTTCTGTCTTCGTGTCTTTTATTGGGTTCTCGTCTTCACCCACACGGCACTCTGTTATAACTCTGTATTTGTAGCCCCCGGCTATTCACTGCTATTATAGCTTCTTCTTCCCTCTGACTCTCTGCTTCATCTACTGTAACCTCCTCCCTGCAGACTCGCTGCTACCTCTATGCAGACTCCCGCTGCTACCCCTATGTGCAGACCCTCTGGCTGCTACCGTATGCAGACCCGCTGCTGACTCTGTATGCAGCCCCGCTGCTGACTCTCTGTGCAGCCCCGCTGCTGACTGCAGCCTCCTCGCTGCTTCGGGTCGGTCACCGCTGGCCAACGGTGCCGATCCTCGCTCCCCCGTGTTCGTGGCGATCTCGCCACCCTCCGCTTCGCCCTTCGTGGCCTCTCTCTGTTCCTGGTTCCCCGTCACTCCCGTCCTCTTCCGGTTCCCCTCCTTCTATAGCCTAACCCCTCACCCCCCCCACGTGACCTAACTCCTCCCCTCCTGACGTCACCTCCGGAGGGCCGTTTACGCCCGCATTACATCACCCTCCCCCATAAAGAAAATCCAGCCGACCTCGGCTGAATTGCAACCTGACAAGAAATGCGGGTGTAAAGGGCCAACACGTAAAAAGACACGAAGCATGCAACAACAATATAACCAGAACACAACACAATACAATTTTAACGAAACGTGAGGGATTTCGAGCGAGTACGGGCAGCCGGGCCGTCCCGGACGGTCGGCAGACCACCCGCCGAGCGGGAACGTGGAAGGGTTTTAGGGGCGACGGGCGCAAGTTTTTCCGTCGCCATTGGAGGCCCGCCACTGTCCCGCTCGCGTCCAGAGACATCCCGTACTCGCGTCCGCGGAGGGATAGGAAGAGCTGCAGGTCCCGTGGGTTCTGCGGCTCCAGTCGACGTCCCACGAGCGGAACGTCCTCCTCCCTGCGCTGTCACGGCCGGCTTGTCTGTGCCGGAGGGTCTTTCTTTGGGGCGTCCGCTGTCGAGGCCTCCTGCTGGGGCGGCCCCGGAACCCGGGCCCAGCAGTCCCTGGCATAGTGGCCCCGACGGCCGCAGCGGAAGCAGTCGACGTCGGGGCGGCGCGCAGCGGGCACCCCGTCCCGACGCGGTCGCGCCGGCGGCGGAGCCCGCGGCCCTGGCCCGCTTCGAGCCGGCCACGGAGTGGAGGCGGCCGACAACTCCTTTGGGCCGGTCGCATCCGGCACGTACACGGCCTTCGTAGGGTCCCACCCTACGGCCCCCCCATCGACGACAGGACCGCCCGTCCACGCCGTCACCTGTTTCCAGCGGCGGAGATTGAACTGGGCGTCCAAACACTTGGCCGCGGTCCGGGACGTGAGTTTTTCGTGACCGCACGCCGGCATAGGAATGCCGAGATCTCGGGACAACTCCAACATCTTCCCCAAGATGAGTGGTTCCAGCAGGTCAGGCTCCGTCTCCGGGTAAGCGGCCATAGCGAGTTCCAACACGGCGCCCCTGTACGCTACAGGTGACTCCTCAGGTGCGCGTTGCCGCTGCACGAATCGGCGATGGGCGTCATCCGGTGGCTCGTACGCGTCCGCCATTTCCTCGAACACCCCTCGCAGAGTTTTCTTCTTCGCAGCTTTTATAGAGCGAAAAAAACGAACGGACTCATCATCAAGAAGAGTCGGGAGCACCTCCAGTGCCTCAGCGTCCGTCCACCTTGCCGTACGTACCGCCGCCAAAAATCTGCAGGCGAACGCACTCCAATCGCCCCCGATGGAGAACTCTTTGACGGTTGTAAGGTGACGACTGCGACTCCTTGGCTTGCTTCCGTCCGTCGCTGACTCTTCCGGCGGTAAGTTCAGCAAGGCGTCGCAACGCTGTGTCGCCAAAATGGCGGACGATCCTCGCGGCGGCCCCAAAATGGCGGCTTCCCGCCTTCCGTGGTGCGCCACGCCCAAGATGGCGTCTTCACGCCGCGTGGCCGATGGCGGCGCCATCGAAGACGACCCGGGCTCCTGCCGATCACCACCATCACCTTCCAACGCCGCCCTTGGCGTGACAAGGTCACACAACTCTGTGATGACGGTTTTTAGGGTTGCCAGTTGCTCCGCCATCCGGGTCCATCTTAAATCTTCGTCCTTCAACGCAGATGGGTCGGACGAAGGGGCCACCTCCTCGACGCCCGGGCCCCCACGGATCTCTCCCTCCGCCGAAGTGAAGCCGACCGCAGGAGGAAGATCGTCGTCGTCCGAAGATGAAGCCGACGCCGGGGATGGAATATTCTTTTTCCTCAGTTGTTTCGCCATGCCGTTTCACTTCTGACTCCAGTGTAATAAAAGGACTCGGACACTTCCTTCTGTCTTCGTGTCTTTTATTGGGTTCTCGTCTTCACCCACACGGCACTCTGTTATAACTCTGTATTTGTAGCCCCCGGCTATTCACTGCTATTATAGCTTCTTCTTCCCTCTGACTCTCTGCTTCATCTACTGTAACCTCCTCCCTGCAGACTCGCTGCTACCTCTATGCAGACTCCCGCTGCTACCCCTATGTGCAGACCCTCTGGCTGCTACCGTATGCAGACCCGCTGCTGACTCTGTATGCAGCCCCGCTGCTGACTCTCTGTGCAGCCCCGCTGCTGACTGCAGCCTCCTCGCTGCTTCGGGTCGGTCACCGCTGGCCAACGGTGCCGATCCTCGCTCCCCCGTGTTCGTGGCGATCTCGCCACCCTCCGCTTCGCCCTTCGTGGCCTCTCTCTGTTCCTGGTTCCCCGTCACTCCCGTCCTCTTCCGGTTCCCCTCCTTCTATAGCCTAACCCCTCACCCCCCCACGTGACCTAACTCCTCCCCTCCTGACGTCACCTCCGGAGGGCCGTTTACGCCCGCATTACACATGGACTGTTTGATCAGAACTACTTGAACTAGCGCAGCGCTTAAATTGGAGACAATTTTGTTGCCAGGTCAAAAAATGATTGCCCTCTCCGTATCCAACGAGTGAAGCTGTGATGCTTGCAGTGACGGATACATTTCGATTTCATAATAAAGGCTTTTGGGTTAGATCGCGTAAGTATGAATGTGTCGTGACCCGCCACCACCCAACGCAGCCAAAGAGGAAGGTTCGTCACGTAAACAAAACGTGCTAATTAGTTACTACTTCAGCCTACCGGTGTGTCGGAGAGTAAATCCACAACATTTACAATTTGAGTATTACAACTTTTCGCTGTTAATTACATCCATGCATCATCGGACGATTTGTAAGATGACATCATCACTGTAAACCAATCAGGTGCAGAGGGCAGAGGGGGTTTTATTGTAATTACATAATAGATTGGAATAATCACTGTTAATTAATATGTGATGCCTTCGCAATGCATACAATTGTAAGGCGTATTACTTCATAATAGTTTCACGGGGAGTTTCAAAGGTGGTTGACCTCACGTGGTCACAGGGCGCTTAAAATGACATTGTGGGCAAAATTAAGCCCCTCAACCGTATGTTCCTTATCCCTCATGTGTGCCCTACCCCTCATCTACGAGATGAGAACGAATTGTTTCTTGCCATGACTTTGGAGCGATAACCTCCAAGTAAAAAAAAATGGAGTGCTCATTTTTATTCGGCAGTTCTGATCAAGTGACCTAATGGACACATTCTCATGGCAGGGGCCAATCGTACAAAAAAGGACGACCACTGTTGATTCACTGAGTCAATTCGTGAGCTAGATTTGAATTCTCAACCCGTCACGATTCATTCGTGTGCTATTTCTCTTACCAGAGAATCGCGTATGACCTCGCTTGTGTAAAATTCTGAAAAACACAACGTGCAACAAAATTAAATCAAACATCTTGTTCATAAAAAGCCACTCATTCGTGCACATGCATGCCACCAATTTGCAATGCCGCATCGACACAGGCTGAAAATATCTCAGCATAATCAAACTCTGTTCTGAGAGATGAGGCATTGGGTTGAATGGTAGATGAATACAGAATGTTTTGATGCATGTAGGGGAAGAACAATACACCAATTCATCTCTTAACATCCATTCTTAGACCCACATCACATGCTTGGAATTGTATGTTTAAGAATAAATGTGTTTATTTGTACACAGTATATGTTGTATGTAATGAGTTGATGTGAACCCTGCAACCACTTGAAGTTAGGCACCACATTCACTACGATGACGACAATGGTGAGCCCTGAATGGTGACAATGCATCATCACACCTCTGGGGGGGAGGTGAAAAATTCCACCGCTGTAATGCAATAATATTCAGGTGAGAATAAAAATAACACCAGCGGTCCCTTTGCTTAAACCGAGTGTTTAACTGGTGATGGTCTCCATTGGCAGTCCACTTGCGGCAGAACATCCATATTCCTAAGGCAGTGCCCAGTCTCTCCATAAGACAAGCACCGTTGACTACCAACAAAGTGGTAGTCATTTTATCAACCCCCGAAATGGAATCTTAACGGCCACTGTCGTGAATTCTTTCTTGACGACAATAATTCCGAAAAATAAGGCAGATAATTTTCCAGTTTTTTCCACGAGAGCGCTTTCCAAAGGCAAGAGTTAGCTGCATCAACAAACAACACAACACGATTATGGTTAATTGATGAATTTACGCAATGTAATTGTCATTTCAGGTTAAATCTGTAAGTACAGCCCTCGGTAAATCCACTGCTGGATGGGGGGGGGGGGCCTCCACAAGCCGTGTGGGGTCGCGGGGGTTATTTGACAAAACTTCCCCACACTGGTCACTAGATGAAGTTGGGGAGCACAGAACAATTTAAACTATTTTACCAGGCAAGGCCCACTGAGCTATACAGCTCTTTTTCAGAAGCGACCTGGCCACAAATGATAGCTCAACAAAGTGGCTTATCGTGCGGACATTTATAACAACCAAAGACTCTTAACGCACATTGAATCTTATTGTGGACGGAAAAACCTGGAGGACTCGGAGAAAAATCCACATGACCACGGGGAGAGAGACGCGCAAGCTCCAAATATACAGCAGGCGTCAGGGTCAGGATCGAACCCACGACCTCCTGCATACCCGGCAAGGTAGTGAACATCTCGCCACCATGGCACCCAAACATGGGAGCACAGAGTAGTCCAACAATAGATTGTATTTCACTGCCCTCTGTTACCCACCATATATTGCCACAGCCTATAACACCTAGTATGCATGGTGGCCGCTCATGCTAGTACTATTCAGGTTCAACTCAGCTTAGCATCCAATATGTGATGTGATCGGGCACATTCCAGGTGAATTGGTCATAGGTCAGCTTATAATGCTGCTGTAATTGTAATTATAATTTACCCCGGCATGTTAACAGCTCTGTATGAAAAAAACACTCGGTTGGAGGTGGAGTGGCAGCTTTGTCAAGAGAGGTCCACAAAAATTAAATTTTTCGATTTAAAGCTTTCGTGACTGCAGGGATTCATCTTCTTGGTTCTTTCGGTAAAGTCACGTAGAAGGGAAATAATAAAATAATAAAAATAAAACATAATAAAGAATTGTATTTTATTAATGTCTTATTTTTATTACTTTATTATTTCCCTTCTCCGTGACTTTACCGAAAGAACCAAGAAGATGAAGGTCCACAAAACGCAAGTTAAACAGGAGACGGAGCAATGGAATGGTTGCACATTCGCGGAATTCGGCAGAATGCAACTGCACAAAACCTTATTCGGCCAGCAGTGGTCACGAGAAAAGGATCTTATTTAATTATTCAACAGAAGATTAAAAAACATTGATGAATATCAATCGTGGCTGTGTCCCCTAACCATGTGATGTGCAACAGGAGAACTGGAAGGGCCGTTGCCTATTATATACCTCTTTGGTTCTTTCGGTAAAGTCACGTATAAAGATAAAATAATAAATTAAATAACAGCATACGACGTTTCGATTGCTATTATTTAATTTATTATTTTATCTTTATACGTGACTTTACCGAAAGAACCAAAGAGTAATTCCTGCAGTCACGAAAGCTCCAAATTATTATATACCTGTTACTTTTTGGGGCAGTGTTGTTGACAAATGTGTTGAGTTTTTTCTTGACTCTTCACAACGTGGTTCAGTGGAGTGTATGTATGTATGTTGAACTTCTTTCGCACCGTATGTAGCCAACTGCACTAATTGGATTCAAACGAGTTTTCTTCCTGGCCTTCCTAAAAGCACAAAGCCAACCTTTTCCAAAACCTAACATCGGCTGTACTGGGGGAAATCAGCTGCGGTAGCAAAGGTTAGGATTAGTGGATCTTGCGCCCAGGTGCTCAGTGAACACGCGGTCCTTGCAAGATCGGACTCGCCCAAAAACCAAACGCGTGCCACGCCAAAATGAAACCGAGAGCGCCTCCAGCAATAACAGCGACTCGTCAAATATACGATCAAATATCTGTTTTGTATCCTTTCCACATACTACTAGAAAAGATGGGAAGTCACAACCCTCCCCCACCGACCTTACGAGTGGAGATGTTTACAGAGAGAATATAGATGGGAGCTTGGCTTGAACCCTAAAGGTGACAGGAAAATCCAATAGAAGTCCTGTTTATGACAGCAGCACATGCCTTTGTAAATACCCTTGCTGTGCAAATGTAAATATCTTGTTCTGATGTAAGCCCTCTCTCTTCTTCTTGCCCCTCTCACGTCTCCCCTTCCACTCTTCTGGTGAAATAACCCTTATCCACTAAGCCACCCTCTTAATGAGTGAGTCCTGCTTTCAATCAGATGTGACTTTTACATTTAGTAATTTGGAGGTGGCTATGTTGAATTTAGTTATATTAATAGTTTACAAGACCTTGTCAATCGACTTCTGGATGAAGGCCTCCTCAATCCGAGTCGGTTAGGGGGGTTGTTTGACCATCTTGGTTAGTGTAGGTTAGTTAAGGGGTTTTGGGGGGTCAGGATTGGTTTAGAAATCACTTGCCACTGATGTTGTCCGTGGCTGGGAATGGCACATTGTAATTTTTTAATGCAAGTTGCACAAGTCATTTTTATCCAGACTAGATTAGAAACCTCGCTGAACTTGAGAAAGTGGTTCATCACAAGATGCTGCCCGGATTTGAACCCTGGAACTCAGTGGTGCTTGACTCGGTGCTATAAACACGGGCATATTTGGTCGTTTGAGTGACGGTGAATTGCACCCACCCACCCACCTCAAAGAACTTTAAACACTGCCCTGCAGAACTTCTTCCGTCTGGCCAATGTTGATGTAGCGCAAACGGAGCTCAATTGTGCTCCGCACAGGTTGAAGCTGCTCATTGGCTTTGGTGGAATCGTTACTTTAAATAAGTAATCAGTCAATAATAATAAGTGATTTAAATTTCGATTTAAAGCTTTCGTGACTGCAGGGATTCATCTTCTTGGATCTTTCGGTAAAGTCACGTAGAAGGGAAATAATAAAATAACAAAAATAAAACATAATAAAATACATAATAAAATAAAATACATGTATAAAATACATAATAAAAAAGACATGTATTTTATTATGTTTATTTTTTATTATTTTATTATTTCCCTTCTACGTGACTTTACCAAAATAACCAAGAAGAAAGAAATAAGTGATTTTTTAATGTTTTACAAGTCATGTAAAGCTAAAAATTTCACAGTAACGTGCTGTCATTACCTGATTATGTTTCTGATTATGGACGTAACATTTTAATGAATGAGGTTAATTTAAGCTTAACAAATGACAATGTGCCATGATTCTGGGCTTTGTATTGTGATCTGTGTGCATCAGTGGCTGCTGTCTTCGTATTAACCCAAGCTGCCAACAATCATCCCCCATTTTCATTGTTAGAATTATCTCACAATGCCAGCATTTGCCCTTATTTCTCCATTAGTATTTTTGGAGAAGAAAAATAAACATTCTAATGTTGCTGTGAATAACTATGAAGGGCATGCCTCCTTTATGCGACTCTCCTAAAACTGAGCACGGGCGGTCCCCACTTTAACGACGAGACAATGCATTCCCAGAAATCCCGTCGTCGTAAATCGGACCCAATGTTCCCATAGCCAGGAGAAACAAGAAGAAAAATCACTTGCCAATGTGTTTTTGTTCATTTTATCAGCCACATTTAACAGGATATCATTAGTACAAATCCACAAAAAACGCTTGTGAATAACGAAACTCCATGCCAAGTGACGTCGGAATCCAGAGCGAGTCTCGTCGGAATCACGTCGAAAGATGCGTCCGTAAATCAAGTTTCTGCGGCCGTAAACCGATCCACGGTGGCATTGTATAACCGTCGTAAATGTGGATAGCCGTAAACCGCAGCCCGTCTGTTTTTCTGTTACTTTATTTCAATGCAACCTCAGCGAGCTGTTCCATTTTTGCAAATGACATTCATTATTTCGAAATATTTTAACTCGGACCTTGGTTTGTGAGAGTTCGGGTGATATATTTCCAACATGTCAAGTGGCTTTTCAGAGGTGAAAAATGCTCGGCATAATGGTGATTAATGTTAACCTCTCCACCCCCGCTGACCAATGTGGTCCAGTGCGGCCAAATAATCCCCACAACCTTCACGGCAGAGGGAGAGGCACCAACCACCCCAACCAGCAGTTGATGGACAAGGAGCTGTATCAGTCGATCATCGATTATCTGGCTGTTTCCAACATTATCCGGCGGTCCAGAACCTATCCTGCAGCATCGAGCCGATCCGGCGAAACCGGAAAAAACTGCTCCAAAGGCTGTCACCCAGTCCGGCGATCGGCACCATGTGCGTGACAAAAAAAAGTAGCTATGCTTGATTTCAGTGTTAAATATTATATGGAATACATTATACACTACATACAACTTAAACAATCAAAATACTGCACGAAAAAACATCACCCTATGCAGAATCTTAGAGACTGGAGTGGTAAGTACGGTACAGTAAACACAGCAACTTTTTCAAGGAGCTTATTTATTTGTATCTATGTGTATGTTATTAAGGCCAATATCACATCATAAACAAATAGACAACACTAAAGAACACATAACAACACCTAAACACAATGTCATGGAAGAATGTGCAAAAATAAGCCATTTTAAATCACGATGCCATTTAAAAAAATCAGTTTTTGAAAATCTGGCACCCCCTCCCCACCCCCGAAGCACCGGATAATCGATGATCGACTGCACACGTTGCCTCAAGTTAAAATTACATAATAGAGCAATACCCCGGTTATCGTCAGAGATGCGTTGCTGAAAGGTGCGACGACAAATATCGAAACGACTTGAATCAAAGCGATGTACAGGGTGGTAGCTGGAGGCGAAGGCTGAGGGGCGACGGATGACGAGGACGGACCGAACGTTGCCGTCAGCGACGCGAGTGTGGCGCTGAAGCGTCGCAAAAGCGGGTTGCGGCATTAAATAGCGCCGACGTATTTGCAAAACGACGTCAAAGGTTGGAGACGTGAACCGGGCTATTAACGTAATTGGAATTTATTACAAATAAAGCAATTACAGTTTGTAATTTACCCCGGGTCTGATTCTTAAGCGAAGCTTTGTTGTGTCGTTTCTCTATACAGCCAAGACTTGCATTTGTAAAGTATCCGATGGGACATTCCTAGCAAAGAATTAGAATTATTGCTTTCCAGATATAATTTACCACTGTCCGTCAAGAATGTTATCCAATCAGTCAAATTATTAGTTTATAGATTTAAAATGTTTGCTACGTCACAATTCACATCCTGGTGACCCTTGCAAACGAGACATTTCCTCTGAAGGGATTTTCCAGGTGAAATATTTTAATAAAATGGCAGGTAGTTGATGGAACTTGTTACCGATACTCAGCAGTTCCGAGCCTGTGGTCTAGAAGGCCATGGCAGGTGTTTGATGGAACTTGTTACTGATACTCAGCGGTTCCCAGCCTGTGGTCTAGGTGGTTGATGGAACTTGTTACTGACACGCAGTGGTTCCCAACTTGTGGTCTGCAAGGCAATGGCAGGTGGTTGACAGAAATTGTTACCGATACAATTTTTGTTCACAAAAAAAACAGATTTTTCGTTTTACTCCATGGTGGTCCACGAATATTGACAGTACTCCTGAGAATCCAGACAGGCTGGGAACCACTGAGGTTGTCGCGTAATAAAACAATAACCCTCCAAATGTAGGTTACGGTACCGCGCTACCCATAACACATCAATGGCACAGACATACTGCCCCACCGGGTAGGATGTGGCTGTCGTGCCACAAGTGCAGGGTGAAGTACGAATCCAAAAGCGCCCTCCCGGCCGGGTTCACCAGATTCCGTGCGGAGATGCTCCGCAAGTGCCGCAGCCGCCGCTGTAACGAAACGATCATCATCATTAATTATTGTTATTAAAAGTAGCAACGCACACCGGTGCAGACAGTGTTGAGGCCCTAGACGGGTTTTGACATTGCTATCCTACACATGGGGAATAGAATAATAAATACAAATCACTGCTGGATGAGGGCCTCCCTATGTCAGGTGGATGAAGGTTATTTAACCATCCTTCCCCGTACTGGTCATAGTGTGTTGGTGAAGGTAGGGAATGCACTTGGAAGCATAGAAGTATATTACAACAGTAATTCGCTGCACTCTGCTCAGTTGCCATGTAATACCACAGGATAAAAACCTGAAATAATTGCGTTTTAAAACGAATTTTTAACTATGACACCATGAAGGCAGAAACAATATGTTCAGGCAATGAGTTCCAGCGATTCTTAAATGTGTGTGTATGAGAAGCTGCATAGTAAGATGTAATTATATTTTAATGGACTGCCCGTACTGGAAAATATCGCGCTCGCACAGCAAAAATATTGAAAACCAAAACTACTTACGGGGACGATGTGGCTAAGAGCAAAGCTTAACAACTTTCAGTCAGCATCACCAACCATGGGGCAATCTCTCTGTCTCTACCAAGCTTGTCCAATAAAATAATTCCATTAAACCTGACAAATCTTAAAACATTTATTAGATTTAAAGCTTTGGTGACTGCAGGGATTCATATTCTTGGATCTTTCGGTAAAGTCAAGTAGAAGGGAAATAATAAAAATAAAACATAATAAAATTCTCACGACGTTTCGGCTTTTGAATCTTAATTTTTTTTCAAAAATCTGCACCCTGGTGCAATACAAGAATCGGAGTCTAAGTCCATTGTGTTAGCTGCACCAGCAGATCCTTTTGTATATACAGAATACATGCACTGATGCATACAAGGCTGCTGTTGACTAAATCCCTGACTAGGCAGTTTGCGTTATCAACTTTCCATCTCATTTAAAGTAAGCGTTATAATTTGTTTCTTGTCACCCTGAGGAGCAGTGCCAAACTATCCCCACAGTGACCACGGAGGGATCGACTTGTCCACAAAGCCAGAAGAGATGTCAGCAGTAGGCTCTGATGGCTTATAAAGTCCTAACGATTTGTGCAAAGGATGAAACCAGTATTGTGCAGTTTAACACGTAGGCTTTCGCGACCTATATTATCCATAATAAAAGTTTTTTTTGGGTTAGATCGCATAAATATAAATGTGTCGCCTGATGAAGCCTGGTTGTAATAACCAGCTAAACGTCGTACTCGAATTGTAAATGTTGTGGGTTTACTCTCCAACACACAGGTGTGCTGAAGTAGTAATTGATTTGCACGTTTTGTTTACGTGACAACCGTACGAATTGGCTGTGTAGGGTGGTGGCGGGTTTAACGAAACATTTATATTCACTCGATCGAACCCCCCCCCCCCACCCAAGTAAAACACATTCCTGCGGAGGGAGCTGGTAGGAACGTTGGGTTGCTCGGTCAATGGCCAGGGTCAACGGCGGCGTGGTGTATTGCACAAATATGCCCGACTGTGAGGGCGGGCACAAGCCGGCGTGAGTAGGTTAAACGTTGAGTTTTATAAGGGCACCACGGGGTGACCAGCCCCTCCCCACCCAGCCCCACCCCTCCTACCCCCCACCCAGCCCCTCCCCACCCAGCCCCTCACCACCCAGCCCCTCCCCACCCTCCCCACCCAGCCCCTCCCCACCCAGCCCCTCCCCACCCTCCCCACCCAGGTGCTCCCCACCCAGCCCCACCCCTCCCACCCTCCCCCCAGCCCCACCCAGCCCCTCCCCACCCTCCCCTCTCCACCCAGACCCACTCCTCCCATTTTTGGATGCACGACGGACGGACGGACACAATAATCCCCTGTGGGCTGGTGTAACCAGGAGGTTCCTACCATTAAAAGACTTTCATGATGGACAATATCATACAGTTGTCACATTGTTCGACTGCTCCTGATGTCCAAAACTACTGGCCACAAAGTTGACCCTATGAGTTGAAGGTCAACAACCGCCCAGCCCCCCCCCACCAAGGTTGGGTGCATTATACTCGCAACGTGAAACCCAAATGACACCACACCAAGACGTGACAAGGAAAGGACCAATCCTATAGTCTACAAATCACCCTTTGCGAAACCTACAAGGATCTCAGCGTTACATAATGGGGCAAGGAAGACTGACCAAGCATTTGTGACTGTGCATTCAGTTACACCACGGTGTATACCGTGTATATTTAATGTACTCACGTAAATAGTACGTGCTAATTTCGTATACGTTTACAGATATGCTAAGTTGCATACTCTGCACAATACAGTATACACATACATCTCCATACTGGTCTACACAATACTGTATGTTATGCAATGTTGCATGCAATGCGTGTGCGTACATGAGTTAATACAGATGTGAAGTTATACACTTTGATAATAAATACTGTCGTATAGAGAAATGTACATACAGTACTTATGAGTACAGTCTAACGCAATGGACTTAATGCATTCAAAACATAACTATAATGCATGGCAGCGGTATACATTATAAACATCCAAAACTCTGGTTTATTACATCTCTTGTAACCCTGCATCGCTTTACAGTTGTCGTACACCCTTGCAGTATATTACCTGCCAAGCGTTTCATTAAATAGTTATCAGTGACAATAAAATGACCCATCGAGAAGGCGGAAGCCTCCGCCGCTTAACCCTCGCCTCCTGCGGCCAGCCAACTAGTCGAACCCGCTAAGCACTTCGCGAGCTAGGCCTCAATACGAATAACGCCACTTTTTAAAAAATAAACACTTGGGCATGACAGTTTCACAATTCGTTTGTTTTTTCTCTCTCTTTACACAGAGGCGCTTTAAATAGATAATATAAAAGCTCACAAACCTGCTGCGAGTAGAGCTCTACGTGAACTTTTCGGGCCACCTTATCGTCGGCCGCGTTCATTTTGCCGGAGGCATCAAAGCCGCCAACGTTTCCGTATCCGACAGCGCAACAATTAACGCGTTTTTTTAACCAACTACCGACAGCTAATAACGTAAATAAACGCCGAGATATTAACGTCGGTGCTTTTGTAGGAGTCTCCGCCGCCCCGCAGAGAGCGACTGAGAGTAAAACGACGGCGGATTAACGCCGGATGAAAGTGGATTGTTAATTCGTCCCTCGGTGTGAGGCTGCGGAGGAGAAGGCGGCGGCCATGGCAGGGCCAGACCCCATCATGTGACGGCCCCCCTCCCCGCCTGTCCCCAACAGATGTTATTCTCTTTATCTTCTGTTCACAACACATTTTATTTGCACTTACTACGGCTATGTGTGTTTTAAAAACAAACACATCTGCATGCGAACACGGCTCGCAAGTGCGAGGTGGAACGTTCCGCTGAAATAATTGGGAATAACATCGGGGAAGATGAAAAACTTCGTGATGAAAAAACTATAATTGGCGTTTTTGTCCTTTTCGGTAATACTACAGGTGTTTAAGATGTTCAAACACCAACTAGGCACCGCTTGGCAAGGGCATCGAGTCTGCATTAACCACACATGCTTGTGGTAAAACGTGCAAATAAACATGATTCGATAATCTACGCATTGTATTTGAAACTGTTTGGCATACATCAGAGGTAGCTTTCTTTTTATGGCCTTGTATCATCACTGGCGTTAGACCAGAGAACATCAAAAGGCGAACATCACAAAGGCAATACAAATATAAAAGCGTGAATAGCTCGGGTTGAGCAGTTATATATCTATGGGACCATTTTTTGACGGTACACTACCAAAATTATTAGGAAAATATTGGTTTTACCCTTTCTGGCAACAACATGTTAATGGCCCTCATAGTGAGAAAATACACATTTGATTCTAAATCCTCTTCACGCCTACCGCCAAACTCAAATCACCATCAGTCATGATCAATCCACTGCTGTTTAAAAGCCCCCCCAAGTTGTTTGCCATCTCACGATCCTGCCATGTAATAATCTAGTACCTGTACATGCGAGCTACATTACTGGATTTTTGCACAAAGCGTTGGTGTACGGTGCTTTTTCTGCAATATTTTGCTGTCTTTCTTGGATTTTCTGTTTGCACATAGTCACATAGTCACTTGAAGATGTTTTCTTGTTCATGTTTTTTGTTTGTTGCGATTGCACCCGATTCAAGAGCCGAATGGCTCACAGGGCTATACCGAATAAATGAACTTGTATCTCAGTAAATACCTCCTCAGACGTGTGTCAATATCCTTGCCGGCCACTCCATAACTCTCATCAGTCATCAATCCCTTCTTGTGCCACTTTTCAGTTTTCGTAGAGACACAGACATGGGAAGGAGACGTATTGCAGTCTGCTTGTTTTGTGTTTTGAATGATATAGATTTGTTGAATGATGACCCACACCTATACTAATAGGGGTTTTTTCCCTTTTTTCTGGCAACAAAACTGACACCTTTTGCAAAGAATCATGCTTACATTAACCACAATACTTGCAGTCAAATGCAAACAATACTCTGATAATTTATGCATTGTCCTTGACACTGATTGGTCCACACCAGAGACAGCTTTCTTTAGAGCCTAGTCTCATATGGTGTTCGACCAGATGACGCCAAAAGGCGCACAGTTCAAAGACAACGCACTATCAGAGTAATAATTTGCATTTGACTGCAAGTATTGTGGTTAATGTAAGCATGATTCCTTGCAAAAGGTATCAGTTTTGTTGCCAGAAAAAAAGGGAAAAATCCCTATTAGTATATTTTGGTACTGGCAAAGGAGGTCCCATGATGACCCACACCTGTCAGGGTCTTTGCCTATTAAGTATCCGACAGTTCAGCAGTATTGGTTCAAGCAAGGCTTGCTGCTGAGACATTGAATGTCAAAGCTGGTATAAAACATACTTTTTGTTGATTTGAAGCTTTCGTGACTGCAGGAATCCATTCTTTTTGGGGTTTTTATTTATTTTATACCTACGTGACTTTAACGGGAAAAAACCAAAGAGTATGCATACTTTTTTTCTTTGTGGAGGAACATTTATTGGAAGGCGGTTTTTGTCTGATTATAATTTACAATCTATTACTGCATTCCTGTCAACCCCTTATCAGTGCCCTACCTTATTACAGACCAATTCAGACTTTATTGGTCACCCCGTGCCCCTTATACATCTCAACGTTCATCCTACAAAGTCCCATTACAAGGGAGAAACACAAATAGAAAAAAAACAATGTTTTTGCCCGCATTGAAACGTCTGTATGCCGTATGGACCCGACAACTCAATTTCCCTGTACAAAAATAGGGGTAATCTGTATGGGTTGATAGCTGTGTTACTCCATAACACAGGGGTTTGTTTTTATTAGATCGCGTAAGTATAAAAAAAAATCTGTATCATGGATATTGGTCGTGAAAGCCTACGCGTTAAACAGGTATGTTACTATATTCTTGGTTCTTTCGGTAAAGTCACGTAGAAGGGAAATAATAAAATAATAAAAATATTAAACAATAAAATTCTCACGATGTTTCCACTGCAACACAAGCAATCATCATTAGGTGTGAAATCCACAGCAAGAACATTTTCTTGCAAGAAATTTACTTGAATCCCTGCAGTCATGAAAGCTTTAAATCAGGTATGTTACTGTACATATTTTGTGTGTACGATTTTATTTTGAAGCTACAGTATTTGTTCTTTACGTGAGATTCATTATATTGCATTGACTTCGTGAGGGGCCAGTCAAGAGAGCCGGCCCTGTGTCAGCCGTGGAAATTCCACATTCCCATGGGACGTGCCAAACTCTCCAAAACGGAACCTCGTGAAGAATTAACACATTGTCCTGCGGAGGGAGCTAGTAGGAACGTCGGGTTGCTCGGTCAATGGCCAGGGTCAACGGCGGCGTGGTGTATTCCGCAAATATGCCCGACTGTGAGGGCGGGCACAAGCCGGCGTGAGTAGGTTAAACGTTGAGTTTTATAAGGGCACCACGGGGTGACCAGTCCCTCCCCACCCAGCCCCACCCCTCCTACCCCCCACACAGCCACACCCTCCCCACCCAGCCCCTCCCCTCCCACCCCCCACTCAGCCCCTCCCTACCCTCCCAGTCCCTCCCTCCCAGCCCCTCCCCACCGCACCCACCCCCACCCAGCCCCTCCCCACCCAGCCCCTCCTCACCCAGCCCCTCCCCACTAAGCCCCTCCCCACCCAGGCCCACCCCTCCCACCCCCCACCCAGCTCCACCCTCCCCACCCAGCCCCCCCACCCAGCCTCTCCCTCCCCCCACCCAGCCCCTCCCTACCCTCCCCACCCAGCCCCTCCCCACCCAGCCCCTCCCTCCCACCCCACCCAGCCCCACCCTCCCCTCCCCACCCAGCCCCTCCCCACTCCCACTCCCACCCAGCCCCACCCTCCCCTCCCAAACCCAGCCCCTCCCAACCCTCCCCACCCCTCCTCACCCAGCCCCTGCCTGCACGACGGACACAATAATCCCCTGTGGGCTGGTGTCACCAGGAGGCCCTATTTACTTCAGCCTCTTGCAGATATGTTCTCGTGAACTTAGTTCTGCAACTAGTTTATGATTGCTCTCAAGATAGCTCTCCTTTGTACGAACGTCTACCGACTACGTCTACTCTGCGTATCAAAGAGATACATCTGAATGATGTACACCACTTATAATTGCGTTCGGAACAATTTCGATTAGATTCCCGATAACATCAAATCGAAAGTCTGATCGATCACAACATCGAACAGGGGGGGGGGTAATCGATAGTGGATAAATCAAGGCGCTGTAAAAAAAATTAAATAGTAACATGTACGATCACGCCTTTATTGCAAACGACACAATACATCTACGTTATGTAATTATGTACATTATATAATTGTTTAAACACAAGAGGAAAATTCTGCTGCGTTGGCAGAATCCACACCCCCCTCCTTCCCTAACTCTGTGCGCTCTGAGTGCTAGAAAAGTTAATTTTATACTCGCACGGTTACATTAAGCTCCTTCTACTTGTGTGTGTGTGTTCCTCGGTTACACATTACAGCACTCCTTCGGCTGTTATGGTGAGTAAGCGTCGCGTGTAAGTAAAACTCGTAAAACACGACGTTTGAAGAGACTTGTACAGTGTCAACTCGAGCGAGGCGGTATAACATACGAGAGTCAGCGCCGTGCTACTTACGAGACACGTTTAAAGCTTACGCTTCTCACCACTTTATGTTTTACGTGTACTGCGTGTGTATAACATTCGTCGAGCTAGAGTATCGATCGTAAATATTAGTTTTTATAAAAAGACCAACCGAAATAAAAAAAATATAATGACGGGGCTCGTCCGGGATTTGAACCCGGGACCTCTCGCACCCTAAGCGAGAATCATACCCCTAGACCAACGAGCCAGCCGTTCACTCCCCTATAGTAACTCAACAAGAGCTGGGCCCTCTGCGGACATTGATGGCAATTATTGATGGGTTTTTTGGTAATTTGCCAGTAAATTGTGATGGTGTTTCTGATGGCTTATTTGCGTCTCGTGTTTGTAGAAGGAAAAAATCTCACACGAAGAGAGAATCATACCCCCCAGACCAACGAGCCAGCCGCTCACGCTGGGCCCTCTGGGGTCAGTGGTGGCAATTGTTGATGGGGTTTTTGTAATTTGTCAGTAAATTGTGATGGGGTTTCTGATGGCTTATTTGCGTCTCGTGTTTGTAGAAGAAGAAACATCTCACACGAAGAGAGAATCATTACCCCCCAGACCAACGAGCCAGCCGCTTACGCTGGGCCCTCTGAGGACAGTGATGGCAATTGTTGATGGGGTTTTTGTAATTTGTCAGTAAATTGTGATGGGGTTTCTGATGGCTTATTTGCGTCTCGTGTTTGTAGAAGAAGAAACATCTCACACGAAGAGAGAATCATACCCCCTATACCAACGAGCCAGCCGGTCACTGCCTCTATAGTAACACAATAAGATGTGGGACCTCTGGGAAGTTGACAGCAATTGTTGATGGATTTTTTTGTAATTTGCCAGTAAATTGTGATGGGGTTTCTGATGGCTTATTTGGGTCTCATAGGCTTTTAACTACTTGGCTTTGGCCCTGGTGGCAGAAATTTTGAATTGCACTTGTTTTTTGTCGAGTGAGATGGAATGGGCTGCTTGCTGTGACTTGTTTACCAGAGCTGATGTCATCAGCATTTTATTTTAGTCGTTTAAGTCAAGTCGACGACAGCATTTATTAATATTTTAATTTTATTTCGCGTTATTCATTCTAATAGCATCCAACAACGTATTATTAGCCAAACCATTCTGGATTTCATTTAGTTATTTGAGTCCATACGACTAAGGGTAGTCAACAGCAATGTTCGTCAATAACAGTGGCCTTAAAAGGAAAAATATAATCAGTGACTTTTCGGGCAATGACCCTTCTTCATAGCACATCAGAAGGGTCATTTACCGAAAAGTTATTATATATGTGATGTACTTTTTCCTTTTGAGGCCACAGTGCCATGTACGATTTTTTTAATTTGTGTTTTTGCACCACAAGCGATGCAACACCATCACCAAATAATTTGTCAGAAATGTCCACCCTAAGTTAATGTGTTGGTGTGATGGGCAGTTATTTTTTTACTCACCAATATCAGGTCAGCCAATCGGTTAACTAAAGTTTTCTTATAAGTAGCAAAACAGAATACATTTGTGAGTTTCTGCTCAAATCACGATGATCTCCTGTTTACATTCCTGAGCCAGTGGTGGAAATTCCACGTTACTATGACGCGGTCGACGTCATCCATTAGCCAGCAACTGTAGACTCCCATGAAGCTGTACTTATTACTGTGTATATTTATAGCTCATTGCAGTGACAATTTTGGTATTCCTCAGTACACTGCTGTAAAATATAACCTTACAGAATTATTTTAGCCTGTGTCTTCATTCAGATTATAGTGCAGTAGAGTACAAGTAGTGAATTTCTTCTCGTCATAATCATACTTTGATTTTTGGTGAGTAGTCATCATGCTTGATCATTTCTATCCACTTACAGTCAGGTTGACGAAAATAAAATAAAAACTAATCGTAGGCAATTTAGCCATCACTGATTTACATACACAACTAAAACAAAGACACACCTGATGATGATTGCTTGTGTTGCAATCGAAACGTCGTGCTTTATTTATTTTTATTTTTTCACCTACGTGACTTTACCGAAAGAACCAAAGAGTATAAAACAAAGTCTCCATAATCAGGGTCTTCAAATCATAGATGGTGAAGCCCGATTCCCCCCTAAAAAGCCTGCAATGCATGTGTGACAGCATTTAAACTTTTTAAGCATTTTTGTATAACTGATCAAAAGGTTAAACATTAACCTATTAAACAGTGTCAGTATTCCCATACCTAACCACACCCCTATCTACCATCATATAAATGCCTTTGTGTCATAGTTACTTCACCACCTTTGACCACATTGTGCCACTGATAATTGGGAACTGCATGCTGTGGGTATTGGTCAATTCTCATTTGCAGTACGTATTGCCGGTCCCAAATCAGTGGTCAAATTCTACAATCCTATGACGGACTCAAGGACGTTCGTGTATATTTTTAATTAGCACATTTTAACAGCTGCTGTTGATATGTCGGTACCAAATGATGCAGCTCAATTGACCGACCCCAGAGGTATGTTGCCAATAATAATCACGCCATGATCTGTCCACTGCTGGATGATGGCTTCCCCAAGCTGTTGCCATCCCTCTTACGAAGCGACGACCCATCTGGCACCTGCGCATGAGCTGATTTCATCGCTCCATCTCTATGGATGACACCACCCTCTCGGGCGTGCCTTAATTTGGCCGCTACTCCGTCATTCATGCAGTGGTGTAACACTTTATTTAACCAAGCAAGAACCCACAGAGACCAAAATACTGTTTTGCAAGCGAGATCTGGGTCTCCGTTGAAAGCAGTGCAGTAAATGACAGACCTAACAGGAGTTATGAGGAAAATTCCATTACACGTTTGGGAAAAGCATGGTTGTCATATGTGAATTGTAACAAAACAGTTGAAAGTATATCGTAATAAAATACTAACTTAAACTTAGACATAACAAACTTAATAAGCGGACAATAAATCCTTCATATATCCGTCTAAATAAAGTTATTTCCTACACAACCCATTAGCTGCATGGCCTTCTGGGAGTGCGTAACTTCAGCAGCGGTGATTTCAAGATGAGCAAACTGTGGACTGGTTTCAACGCACAGTGTCTCATCAGCAGTCAGGCTTGCTGGAATAAATGCTGGCAAACCACTGACCTTACAGACATAATGCATAATACTATCATTCTAAACCAGTGTTAAATCAAGTTCAACGATGAGCTAGCCATGGCCTCAATTTGAACTCATGGGTCACATGGTTGAAAGTCTCAGAGCACTAGCAATCGTGCTACGCTATGACCCTAAATGCTTTGAGATAATATACATGGCTTATTTGTTGATATCATAAATACACTCTGCAATCTACCAAGCATGCCCGTGGCTCCGCTAAACAATCGCAAATAGACGCGATAATGTCCCCACCGCCGACTCTAACGACCGACTTGTCCTTGTTCGAACAAAGATACAATGATACTAAAGTTCAGGTGTGCATACTTGTGTGGATAACGCGTGGATTACCAAAGCAATTGTGGCTTCAGAACACCAGGAGGCAAAAAGGCTGAGTGTCTCGACCAGGTCGCTTTGTAAAAAAAAAAGGTTATATCGGCTCAAGTTCTTAGCTGGTAAAATAAACTCTCTGCAGACTCGGTACACACGCGAAGGGCTGCAAGACTTTCGAGCGCGCAGCCGGTGAATCGTTTGCAGGGAAATCGCACTCGATTCGGACCCCGTCGAGTATGAGCACTGGCCAGTGTGTCTATTTCGCACTGATAACACTGGTCAACAACAAAAAAATAACATTTTTCTGGCCTGGACTTTTGCAGCTGTTTTAGACTAATTTCAGGGTGCTGATTCCAAATCTGATCTCAGATTTGCTCTATCACATCTCATTTTTATGCTATCGGCATACCCCATTTTCATTGATTTTACCCGAAATTAACTCTGTCACTTATGATTGCAAGTTGTTGCGAGTCAGTGACTGCTTTAGTGTTAAAATATGGTGCTGTATTTTTAGGATAGTGTGTTTATAATATAATTTTATGTAGACATCCACATTTATTTAATATTTTTCTTCTGCAGTTTTTATAAAAAATGCAATATATGATATCTCAAAACCTGATGTGATAGACTTGGAATCAGCACCCCAAAATTACCTTAAAACCGTTGGAATACCTTATGCCAGAAAAAGTGTGTTAACCAGTGTAATACAAATAATGTTGAGTTTTCGTACAGCTTTGTTCATGCAATTTGCATCTCACAGTGGCTGAAGAACCACTCACAAGTTGGAAGGCAGCCGCCAGGCGGAGAGCTGGCGCCAACACTTTCCCAAGCTCTGCTGTCCTCTATTTGCTGTCCTCAGATGTGCCTATTTCGTCATCACGCTACCTTGCAGCGCGAGTGATGCGCGCGTACAATGCACTGAGCTCCTGTTGAGAAGTTGAAGACATTAGTGGTATTCGAATCACATTTTCAATATTTATCCATTTACGTCGAGTAAGAGGGGAGCGGTGGCGCAGTGGTTAGCGCACAGTGCTATGGACCCGGTCACCCGTGTTCGATTCTTGGCCATGGCTAGCAGTGGGTCTCCTCCCCCCCTCCCACATTTCACCAACCTGCACTGACCAGTGTGGTGAAGTATGTTCAAACAACCCTCATGAGCAACAAAGCAGTGGATTTGACAAGGAGGTTACTGTAAAATGTACTGTGAATTAGCTGTGAAATTGAGTTATATGTAGTTATATTATATGTAGATATAAATTATATGTATCGCCACCGTGAAGCCCTCTCGCCACAGTCGTCAGTTGTTTCTTATTGTTTGCATTTTGACTGCTTGTGTGGTGGTTATTGCAAACATGATGCCTTGTATAAAGGTGTCAGTTTTTGTACCAGTTGAAAGGGTAAAAACCTACTACTATATTTTGCCACTGGTTAAGGA